TATTATAACCAATAGAGGTAAATATGTTGTAACTAACTGTTGTAACTGTATAAAACTATTCATCGATTTAAATTGTTAACTTTTTACTGAGCATGTTTATTTTACGCGGAGGAAGCATCGAAAGCCTAACCCCGATAACACTGTGTGACTGATAAGGTTATAGATCTATTCTCTTCTTATTCTTATTTGGCGCTGTAACCGCCAAAGCGATTTTGGCCAACTGACGCCAATTGGAAATGCCAAGTGAAGCCAGAATACTTTCAGAGCTGGGGCGTCGGTGTCCATTCGAACGACATGGTCAAGCCAGTTGAGCCGCTGTATTTTAATTCGCCATATACGAGCACGGGCATGATGAGTGACTTATAGTGTGGTTTTCGTACGTCGAGAGAGGACTTTACTCCTGAATTGCCTACTCAGGCCAAAGCAGTACTTGTTGGCAAGAGCGCTTCTGCGTTGGATTTCCATGCTGACATTATTATCGGAGTTAATGCTGGTTCCCAAGTAAACGAAATTCTCTACTTTCTCGAAATTATAACTGTCAAAAGTGACGTGGGTGCCAAGGCGCGAATGTGCTGATTGTTTGTTTGATGACAGGGATACTTCGTCTTGTCCTCGTTTACCACCAGACCCATTCGCTTTGCTTCCTTGTCCAACTTGGAAAAGCCAGGACAGGCTTCGCGGTTTTTCTTACCGATGATGTCAGTGTCATCGGCATAAGCCAGCAATTGTACGCTCTTGTAGTAAATGGTTCCTGAGCGGTTCAGTTCTGCAGATCTTTTTATCTGCTCCAACATCAGATTAAAGAAGTCACATGAAAGATAGTCGCCCTGTCTGAAACGCCGTCTGGTGGCGAACGGCAACAGAGCAGAGCTGGTGGTATTGCTCAAGGTCATTTTTCACAGCCGTATGAGTTTTGATGGGATATAGGAAACTCCTTTTAGTGCTGTCGAAAGCGGCTTTAAAGTCGACATATAGGTGGTGAGTGCCGATCCTTTTCTTGCGCGTCTTTTCCAAGATTTGGCGTATTGTGAATACCTGGTGTATGGTAGACAATACATTCGATAAGACCTTGCAACCTATGCTTAGAAGGCTGATCCCGTGGTAGTTGGCACGCATGGCGGGGTCCCCTTTCTTGTGGATTGGGCAGAGCGCATTTGAATTCCAGTCGTCGGGCATGCACCTTATTACCTCCTTGCTATCGTAATTAAATAGCTCAGCTGACAGGCCGTCAGCTCAAGCAGCTTTGGCACTTTTCGTCATAGTCAGGCGCTGGGATATCGACTCCATCGTCATCGACTGGGACCTCGTGTTCGTCTTCTCCACTTCTTTCAGTGCTTCTGCCATTAAAAAGGGTCGAAAAGTTTTCCCTCCATAGTCTGAGTACGTTCTGGACATCGGTCACTCGGTCGCCATGGTTGTTCCTACAAGAGTCTTGAAACCTTCCGTAAGTTGCTCAACTCTCTACTAAAAATTTCGGGTGTTTTTTCTGTCGGCCAGAATTTCAAGCATTTTTTCACACTCATCATCGTACCAGTAATGAGCGGGAAATGTGGTTCCACTGATCGCGCAAGTCGGTTTGTTGAAGAGTGCTCTCTCACAGCAGTTGTGAGCAGATTTTCGACGTTGAACTTACCTTGCATTGTTGGGGCCCTTTTTTTGCTGCTCCGAAGTTGGGTCGTATATTGGATGCATCAATATAGTAGTGCGAGTCGATGTTTCATCTGTTACATCTAAAACATGGAAGAATGCCTTCCGTCTATCACAACATGCTCGATTTGGTTTCCGGTTTTTCGATGTGGAGACATCCATGTAGCTTGATGGATCTTTTTATGCTAGAACCCAGTAATACATACTGCCANGGCACATATGAATGAGATGTTGAAGAATCTCGCTTTGATGCGGATTGTGGCTAGACTTTCGTCCACTAGAGTGAACGCCGGTCTCTCTCCCACCACAAATCCAACACCGAATTGCACTCCTTTACGTGGCAACTGTAGTAGACGTCGCAAGGCTCCACGCTTACCTTCCTCGCCCCATCCATCGCATTTCGTGGATGGCGGTGATGTCAGCCATTATTTTTCCCTAGGACATCAACCAGCCGGGCAGAGGCACCATCCCGATTAAGGGTTCGGATATTCCAAGTGCATACCCTAAAATCATAGTCCTTCCTATGTTTGCCGTGATCGTTATCAAAAGAAGGGGTATCATCCGAGGCATGTGTTAGTTTTCATTGGGCAAGGTTTTAACGTGGCGGGACCCAAACCCAGCGCACGCGGGCCACTCCCAGTTGAATAGCAGTCAAAAGCTTTGCAGTACTGGGAAATGTACAAAACATAGTGGTCAAAAGCGAATATCTCAACTAAACCCTGATGTATTTTTTAAATTCATAGCTCTACATACCTGTCTGTTAAACCAAATAGCCGGATCAGACGTTATTCAAAATAAAAAATGTAAAAAATAAACTTTTTTCCGCATACTCTGTAAGATTCTTCCGCAATTTTGTAAGGTAAACTAACAATTTATAATCATTGCTTTGCAGCGAATTATCTTATCTTAAATTATACACATAGGTATGTATAAATATGAGGACGTATTGAACATTTTGAGTATGCAGATTTTTTATGATGGTATATTCATTTATGCTAAATATAATACTTGATTTTGTTTTGTCACACTTAAGAAGTAAACGTCTTGGCTGTTCACCCAACCGGTCTATATTTTTATCCATAATCTCAGATTGTACGCTTAGAAAAGACACAAACATAAAGACACAGTAATAAACAATTTATTTATAGTTTCCGTTCAATCCATTTTTGCTCATTGTCGACTGCAGCCAGGTTTTTACCCATTTTAAATGGAAGTGCTTTGTACATAGAGAGAATAACTTGATACAGAACCGGATGATCCACTTTTTAAATCAATTTACTAATTATTTTGTTAGCGTTGGGAGTATAACTTGTTATACAGTATATATATATATAGCATTTCGTGGTAATATATTTCAATATCTAGGCCCCTACCAGGCTACGCCCATGTCTACAGCGAAAGTACAAATTTGAGATCGATTTTAAGCGGTCGTTATTCATATGCCCACATACATACATATGTTACTTTTCATATCAATTCAAGTGTATTACATGCACTCCCCGCTTTTCATTTTCAATGTCATTAATTGTCTATAATGACTTATGTTAAAATTTCAAAATCAAAAGTTATCAAAACAAATTCTGTGGGACTGAGAAATATTATTTTCTACTTTTTCACACCTATCCTCAATCAAAAAGAAGTTAAACGAAAATGCCTAATGAAATGGTTTACCGCATCTTATTCCAGCTATTTCATAGTTTAAAAATTCGTTGCGAAGGAAATCCTACCTGATCGTTTAGCAGTTTTTTCAACTTAAAATATTTTTTCGGACCCAAGTTACAATATCCTTTTTAAGTAACTTTTTTCGTCTTACGTAAATTTTGTATGTACACGTAAGTCTTAGTAGTAAAACAACGGAAAAAGTGAGTTTGAGAAGTAAACACGACGAAAATCGGTCAAAAATGTGTGCCCGTTGTGAAAAAAATTGTTTCTAGCAATCATCAAATTAGTAATGCCATCAGCGAGAAATATGAGAATCTTATAAAAAAAGCATGTAAGTGCAAACTTTGAAGTGTCTGAACATGTCGTCGTACTTTAAAACACTTATGGAAATTAAAAAAATGATCATGAGCAGTTTGTACTTGGAGGTGAAAATAACAAACTGGCAATGGAAAATCACTCAGCTCTCCTCAAAGAAGATGATAATGTACTTGTTATTAAAAAATGTCCAATTCCTGAATTATATGTGTTACAAGGAACGGTTAGTTCCGCCACTTACAAAAGCAACTTCTGCAAAATTCAGATGCGCTAGATGATCCAGAAATTTATTCAAATGTAGGCAAATTTTCACTTACACCTTTCATTTCTGCTTTCAAAGCTATGAACGAAATTGTGGATTTTTGTTGTTCTATGTCACCTCCCGGCCAGGATTTAGATAAATTCATTAAAGAATTGAAAAAGGCTTATGCCAGTACAAAAGTTTCTGTGACATTGAAAATTCACGTAATTTTTGAACATCTTGAGCATTCCTTGCATTTTTTGGATGGCGAGGAATTTTGATTGTGGTCGGAGCAGCCAGGTGAATCAGTTCATAGAGACTTCTTAAACGTTTGGAACCGCTACAAAATCAACGTGAAAGAAGAACCAAGAAAGATTAAGAAGAATGGTCGTAGAACACTCCTCCATGCATATTTAAAATTTACATTGTATATTAAAATATACAATATTTAGCTAAAATAAATTTTTTGGTTCAAACCAAATCGTTATTTTTATTATTCTTGTATCATTTTATTATTCTTGTATCATTTTATAGTAATTATCAGTTATTTTTCAATTCCATAACTATTTTTTCGTAATTATAAAATACATTGTTACATTAAATTTCTTCCAAAAGCCTACAGTAACCTGGCTTTCCTGCGTAGATATGCGAAAGACTTTAAGGATCCATACACCAGGAAAGCTTTATTTATCTCTTTAGTACGATCAAAACTAGAGTACGCTTCTATTATATGGAACCCCATTTACGGCTGTCATGCCGCCAGACTCAAAAGAGTGCAGAGAAAATTTGTTCGTTTTGCGTTAAGTTCCCTTAACTTTGATGACCCGATGCCCTCATATTTTTCCTGTTGTAAACTTATTCACCTACAAACTCTTGAAACTAGAAGAATTGTCCAGTTGCTCATGTTCGTTTTTGATTTGGTTTTTTGGCTCTTTGGATTGTTCGGTCCTTCTGGAGAAGATATCCTTTAATGTGCCTCACAGATTTCTACGCTCATCTCTGCCGTTTTACTTGCGTTCTACTAAGGCTAACTATTACCATTTTGATCCGATTTTCCGCGCTCTGACAGAATTTAACAAGATCTCAAAGAGTCTAAATATTGATTTTTCGTTGCCGAGAAATATTTTCAAATCATCTATTGATTCATTTTTCTTATAACTACTTGTGTATCTAAATCTATAGTATTTAGTGTTAATTATGATAGTCTTATTTTTATCTAGTCTGTAAGATTGTAATCATAGACTAAATAAACTGAATAAACTAAAAACTAAAACTAAACTAAAAAAAAACTAAATTAACAAAAAAATAAAGATAAAAAAGTAATTAAAAATATTTATAGATCGAAAAAAGTAATTGTTAAAAAAAAACTACCAAACGATCAGCTAAGATTTCATTCGGAATGGATTTTGAAATCATGAAATAGCTGGAATAAGATGCAGGGAACCGTTTTATTAGGCATTTTCATTCAACTTCCTTTGGATTGAGAATAGGTGTGTTTTAGTCCATTTATAAAAGCGTTGTATATTAAAAAGTTTTATTTTATTTTATTTATTTTCTACTTTTTAGTATTGTCTGTACAAAATTTTGCAATAGATACTAAAATAATTCAACTTGCAGTGAAAGAGAACGGAAGACTATGTAAGCACAATGTTCTTTGCTCACATTTTGTATAAACATACATATGTGCATACATACATACAGCAGCAGTTTATTTAATTTAAATAAATGGCGTGTCGTCCATTTCCGCTGTGACGTATATAAATAGTGCATATATTTAGGCGCAATATTTAACTTCTTCTGGCGGGGCGACATCTAGAGTCTTCTAATTGTATCTCCTTGATATGATGCCTACAACGAGGTTGATATCTAGACTAGGTTGATATCTAGAATTTTATATAAATAGCTTTGCTACATTTATAGTAGGTGCATTCTTTTGCAACCGAGCTACAAAAGAACACTCCCTTAAATGACGAAATACACGCAAAGCAGCAACACAAAATCTGTTATTTATCCGAGCTCAGCCAGGTCGGTAAAAAAATACGCGACCTGAAGGCTAGTGTTGGTAAGTGAAAAAACTGCTCTATTGTGAATTGTTAATGGGAAAGTGGAGAGGGAAATTTTTGCTTCCTTTTATATGTGACTTATATTTTAAAAGAGTATATATATTACGCAAATACCTCGCATAATTACTCATTTAAATTGGTTTTTGTATCTAAATCCCGTTAAACTAATCACATTTTCTTTCCAGCTACCAACAGGGTTTCTTAACCTTCCTATACCCGCGTTAATTTTTGTAACACATATACCCGCGCACGGTCTCACAGACCGAAAGTTCAAACTACATAAAATATTAGTTTTTTCAAACAAAACTAAAAACAAATTATTATTTTTCAATCCCGTAGATGTAATAAAAAAATAAAACTACGCATTAAATTTGTATTCACTTATTTTATTGATTTTAAGTGATTAACAAAAAAGCCATCAAAATCGATAATTTTTTCTTAAGTACTACAAAAACAAAACAATAACATATTTTTTTATTCACATAAATAAAAATAAGTTATAATAACTTAAAAACACTTCTTGGACAATACATAAATTATAAATTATATTAGTTTTTAGTCTTGAAATAAAAAATCATGGCATATCGCAATTCATGTAAAAATCTGCCTTAAAAAGAAAACTTACGCTTTTACCTCTTCAAAAAAAAAAACAAAAAATGCCTTTTCTAGCTTAAAAAATATTTATTTGCAATAAAAACGTCAAACTATCTTATTCATTATCCTTACGGAAACACTCAGGACACACCATAATAGCATGTTCCAAACAAAAATACTGTCGGCATGTAGCACAGTTGTAACGCGTTTTTCGGTTTTTCTTTGAGGAACAGTATCCACAGCGACCACTTTTATTAAACGATGTTCCAGAAGTCTCGGGGCCATCTATTTTACATAATTCAAAGAGCCGAAGTTTGATGGTTTTAGGCAAGGAACTGTTTAGAGCTCGACGTCGAAGTTGCGAGTTAATAAGATCGTACGACAAAGATTCAAGAAAGGCTCTGCGGTTAATTTTCTTACTAGGATTATTTTGTACATGTATTATGCATGAATTTATACTCGCAACATTCATAAGGCTATAGAAAATAACCATGGGCCATCTATTCGTACCTCGAGCAACATTATACGTTTCACACATTTTATCTACGGTGTCAACCCCGCCTTTCGTCATATTATAGTCCATTATCATTTCTGGTTTATTAGTAATCTCATTGATTTCAACACCAGCATGCATGCTCGATACAATAAGCAAATTTTTCCCCTTTTTGGGAACATACGAAACAAGACTGCAGTTGCCACGGTGTCCGAACAAGCTGGATTTTTCCGCTCGTCCTCTTATCTCGGTGAATTGTTTGGGTAATTCTTTCTTATTTTTCCTTATTGTCCCAATAATGGTCAGTTTGTGCTTAGATTCAAGTTTATCCAGCAATGGGATACTAGTGAAAAAGTTATCACATGTGATATTCCGGCCAGAATTGTGAATACTTTCGCTTAGTCGTACAACTAATTCCATGGACGAGTTATCAACTTCATATGGGCCACTAGGTTGCTTTCGTACGTAAACTTCCATTTTCGAGGTATAAAACATTTTGGCATCTGTTAAGGCGTAAATTTTTATGCCATATTTATTTGGTTTTGAGGGGATGTACTGCCTGAAGCCACAACGACCTCTAAAAGCCTCCAATTTGTCATCTATTGTAACAAACTGGGACACACTGTAGTATTTACGGCAGTCCTTTCAGCTCGCGTGGCTTTATTGTCAAATCTTAGACAACGCATTAATAAATAAAATCGATTCCAGCTCATAGTTAATCGAAATATCTCCGTCTGTTTTGAATAAATCTTTAGCATTCAAGCGACTATTCCTCCTAACTCCAGCAAAGATTAAAAGGCCTAAAAGGGCTTCGATTTCTATGTTGTCTGTATAGGTACAGTCGCCTTCTCTTGAAAAATTAGGTTTACAATACGATTTATAACAACTTCAGTAAAAAATAATCTCCAAACCTCGCCTATTTCCTTGAAGTTTTTTGCTTCTTTTCTAGGCCCTGGCAGTTGAGTGACTATATTCCTAGCGAGACGTCTTACACGATTTGACGGAGCATCTTTATTCCACCTAGTGTGTCCATCTTTACCAAGATAAAATTCTCTATCATCTATCTCATTCAACTCCTCGTCGCATTCTTCATCATCTTCTTGCTCGGTATCATAACTTTCTACATCTCCTGCAACAAAGTCTTCAACGTCGCTGTCATTTTCATCCTCATAATCAGAAGTCGAATTTTCTTCCTCCAAAAGTAGTCTGATTTGCTCTTCATTCATTATAATATTAAAAAGTACCTGCAAAATAGTAAAACGTAAAAAAATAAGAAAGAAACAAAAAACAAAATAACTGCTTTAACTTCACAAAAAATTACACATATACCCGCGTCGGTCTCACAGACCAATTTTTATAAAATTCACCAACACGCCTGTCTAGTGCAAACGCCAAATCAACACTAATATAGAGCTTGCAAGAAAAGCGGAAGCTAGCAGTAAATTCAGCTTTGTAGAGTTTCTGGAAAAACAAAAATTTACGTAAAATCATTTTCTCGGTCTCACAGACCAACGCGCGGGTATAGGAAGGTTAAGTAGCTAAAAGAAAATTTTACCCGAGTTGAGCGTTTTTTTGTCGCTCGCTTACAAAAAAATGCAGCTAGTATAAATGGTGGTCTGGACATACAACATTCAAAGCGGTCTGGACATACAACATTGCAAGTTGATAAAAGCGTTGTAATAATGAAATAATATATCTCAGTCCCATAGAATTTGTTTTGATAACTTTTCATTTTGAATCTCATAAATTGTTTATAATGACTTTTGCTAAAACTTCATAATCAAAAGTTATCAAAACAAGTTCTATAGGACTGAGAAATATTATTTTCTAATTTTAGTAGATTTATAAAAGCGTGGTACATTAAAAAGTTTTTTTTTAAATTTATTTTATACTCTTCAGTCTTGTCTGTATAAAATTTTGCAATAGATACTAAAATAATTCAACTTGCAGTGAAAAGAGAATAGAAGACTATGCAAGCAAAATGTTGTTTGCTCACATTTACAGGCCTATTC